TGAGTATGTAATAATGGCTGGAGATAACTATATAGCTTTGCCATGGGACCAATGTTCCATCCTGGGAGGATGGGTTTTGCATATAAGAAACATGGAGTCAGGACAAGCCCTATCTCAAATGTTGGGACCTGACTTAATGGTGCATGTAATGTTTAATTTAATGGATGATATAACAGTGAAGAAAGACTCCACTACCTGGTGTGGAATTGGGTATTTAGCTTTGGAAGGTAAGCCTGGCTTGAACATCTCGTTCTTCCTATTGTGGAAGATATTATGAAAGAAGTGGTAAGGCAATTACAGTGATTCAGTGGATAAAAGAGTTTGCTATTGTGGGAACAGAGATTCCCTGGGGATGGATTTCAGTTGTGTTTTCGCAATGGATATGGGGACTTATTATTACTTTTAGAGTAGATATCATTATGTATTAAAGGTTGAATGTATTGTTTAATTCTGTTACCAAAACTGCAGTTAATTAAGTGTTGATAAGGTCAATTATAGCTCCTAATAAATACAAGGAAGTGGTGTTAGTGGGGTCTAAGAATTGTTCTTAGCCCCAAAACCAAATGGGAGAGCTGAAGGGTATGCATGTGTTCATTTGAAACAAAATGTAGTTTGGAAAGTAGATATGCATAAAGAAGCATGCTGTGGCTCACCACCCTAGGAACAGTCTAGAAAAGGCCAAGGGGAGGGGAGTGAACTCAACATGTGGAGTGGAGAAGTACAAGCATGTGACAAACAAAGCCATATATGGAAAGGTTGAATATGATTGGTTACAAGTTTGTGTTATGTAACCTGTTATGTAACTGCCATGTGCTATAAAACAGCAAGGGGAGGGGCTCCGTGCTCAAGGGGCTCTGGCTGATTTTAGTACCAGGGGCTCTCCCTTTGTGCACATTGAATAAAGTCTTGTTGAATTGAGTTGAAGTATGGAAGACCCTTGATTCTGCCTAGCACCCGACTCTCTGAGAACTGCAAAATCCCAACAATTCTTAGGAGCCAAACATTCCCCATACATGCTTAGAAGCCTGGGTACCCAATTTGATGTTATGGATCCCACTAGATAGTAAGACACCCAAGCAATAGGTTCTGCAATGTTGAATCCAAGTCCCCTTTGTGGATCTAGCCTTTGACGGCCAGCACAAGAAAATGCTGTTCTCTCCCTGTTCTCCATATAGCTTCTGCAGGACCAGGCCTTCCTTCTTTTGCAGAGCCAGTAGGTGTGGAGGGGAGGGAGATACTAAAAATCCACACACCAAACCCTTTGCTAAGGTGAAGAAAAGGTTGCAGGTGTGTCTCAATTCTGTAAATGTGTATCAATGCTCCAGGACAGCAGAGTTAATAATTAACAGACACTCAGGACATTCTAACTTAACAATAGCACATAAAACAATATGGCCTTGACCCTGTTGAAACCTCTGGGTGCTATTTTAGTGTATTTATAATAAACCATCATAGAAAGTCTTAAATAAGGCATTGTCTCAGTACCCAGATAGCAGTGTCTTAACACCACCCCATTCAATTATATAATGATGTTAGCTATATTTCATTTCCCAGAGCTCTACTTAGGTGAGTCTATTTGTTCATCTGGCACAAAACAAGGTGTTTTGTTGACTTGCCACCTTCAGTTCAAAGCCCAGCTCCTCATACCAGTCCTAAGCAGACATGCAATTGAAACATACCCCTGTAGCAGAGACCTCAGTTCAAGGCTGAAGAGTTCTGCTGATCCCCGTATCTTTCATCCTGTCTCTCTGCTTGGGCACCTCCATTATAAGGGCTCAAATGAATCAATTCTGAGGCTCTACAGAGAAGCCACTTGACTGAGATGTTTGAGGGGGCCCTGACCACTGGCAGTGTGAAACCCAAGATAACGTCTCCTCCAACAGCTCCAGTAACGCAATAAAGAGAGGGAATGGTTGGTACCTGAGCAGTATAAAAACACAACTGTGCTCACCTAGCTCCATAAGCAATATCCATGCACCTCAGAGTGCTCTTCTTCCCCTGAAGCAGAGCCTGTCTTTAATTTGGACTTGTCAGTTACTGTGTGCATCTATATTATATTAATGGAGATTGCCTATCTCCTAGAACTGGAAGGGACCTTGAAAGGTCATCAAGTCCAGTTCCCTGCCTTCACAGCAGGACCAAGTATCCTCCCTGACAAATTTTTGCCCTAAATCAGCCCCCAAAAGGATTGAACTCACAACGCTGGGTTTAGTATGCTAATGCTCAAAGCACTGAGCTATCCCGCCTATGCCTAACCATAATGCAGGCTGGGTTTAGTATGCCAATGCTCAAAGCACTGAGCTATCCCACCTATGCCTAATGATAATGCAAAACAAGCTGGGTAGCAAGACCCCATTCTAAGAAAGAACCCTTAGTTTAGGGAGCTGTGAGTCAAGTCACCATGAGTTCTGGGCCTAACTTTTACTCAGCTTTCAAACAAGTCGGCTGCGTCTAGACTGGCAAGTTTTTGCGCAAAAGCAAATGCTTGCATAAAAACTTGCTAGCTGTCTACACTGGCCACTTGAATTTGTGCAAGAACACTGACGATCTAATGTAAGATTGTCAGTGTTCTTGCACAAATACTATGATGCTCCCGCTCAGGGATAAGCCCTCTTGCACAAATGTATTTGCGCAAGAGGGCCAGTGTAGACAGGTAAAAACTTTTTGCGCAAAAAAGCCCCGATGGCAAAAATGGCAATCGGGGCTTTCTTGCGCAAAACCACGTCTAGATTGGCACGGATGCTTTTCCGCAAAAAGTGCTTTTGTGCAAAAGCGTTCGTGCCAATCTAGATGCTCTTTTCCACAAATGCTTTTAACGGAAAAACTTTTCCATTAAAAGCATTTGCAGAAAATCATGTCAGTCTAGATGTAGCCGTCAAGTTTGAGCTGGACAGTAGGAGGTTCTAGGTTCAAATATTACATGCAGCAGATGGAGGGGGGAAATAGTGTATGGTCAATCAATGAAAACTGTAGCTGCTGCTGTGTGCGTGTGAAAATTCTAGGGGAAGATGCCACTCTTCCAGGGACATCAGCTGGTGTGGACTCTGAACATGGGTGTGCTGTAGGAATGGTTCACTGCTCCTCTGATGTGTGTTTCTCTTGGACTATGTCTACACTGGCGGCTTCTTGCACAAGAACATCTTGCACTAGTGTTCTTGTGCAAGAAGTCTTGCGCAAGAAAACATCTACACTGCCATGTGCAAGCTGTGCTTTTGCGCAAGAGCGCCCATGGCAGTGTGGATGCTCTCTTGCACAAGAAAGCTCTGATGGCCATTTTAGCCATTGTGCTTTCTTGCGCAAGAAATCCCTGCCAAGCGTCCACACTGTCCTCTTGCGCAAGTGCTCCTGCGCAAGAAGGCTTACATCTGTTAAAAAAGAGCGTAGCTCTTGCGCAAGGAGCCCTCTCTTACCACGCCGTACTGTAAATTTACTTGCACAAGGGCGGGTGGGCAGTGTGGATGCCCTCAGATTCTTGCGCAAGAACAGTCGTACTTGCACAAGAAGCCGCGAGTGTAGACATAGCCTTGCAGTGTAAGAAAAATTTGAGCAAAAATTTGGATAGACCTAGAGAGATTAAAATTAAAACTGAAACAAAAAATTGCTGCTACACGGGGTGTTTAATTTCACAATAATGCAATTTCAAAATGGCGGCCAGATGCGATTATGCTAATTAAGCACGGGATATTTGAATCCCGTGCTTCATTAGCAATTTCAGTACAGTACATTTGCATCCCTATGTTGAGATAGGGAGCAAGTGTAGACATACCCTCAGTTAAGTAGGGTGCATTGCACGTGGTGGCTACAAGGAGGAGGGAGAAAAGTTGTTCCTGGCCTCTGAGGACAGGACAAGAAGCAATGGGCTTAAACTGCAGCAAGGGAGATTTAGGCTGGACATTAGGAAAAACTTCCTAACTGTCAGGGTGGTAATCTCCATCTCTGGAGCTATTTAAGAGCAGATTAGATAAATGTCTATCAGGGATGGTCTAGACAGTACTGGGTCCTGCCATGAGAGCAGGGGACTGGATTTGATGACCTCTCGAGGTCCCTTCCTGTCCTAATATTCTATGATTCTATGACTGTCAAGAAGGATTTGATGACCTCTCGAGGTCCCTTCCTGTCCTAATATACTATGATTCTATGACTGTCAAGACACTTGCATGACTTAGACCCCTGTTCCTTCTTGTTATAATTCCATCAGATTCAATGGCCTATGCCAGGGGCAGGTCTGGCACCTTCCTCTCTCTTCTCAAGCCTCACATTGCAGAGCAGTAACAGGGAACAAAACACAAGTATTTACGTGTCAACTCCAGCTCGATGGCCACCTTGTCCTTCCAGTCCCCAGCTGCCACACTGCAGAGATATTTCCCTCTGTCGGGGAGCTGGATGTTGTTCAGCTTTAGAGACATGTTGCCCTTAGTCCACTCAGTGCTGAAGACCTCCATCGCACCCCAGGATCTTTCATTCTGCTGGTCCTCACTGAACCTCCCATTGTAGAGGATTTTGACTGGTTTCTTAGAGGGCTGGATGAGGGTCCATTGGACAGTGATGCTTGTAGGAATAATGGTGTCTGAGAGCTGGCAGGGCAGGATCACGTCCTTTCCAATAACCCCAATAACAGGGTGACTTGGGGGGAGGATTCTGAATTTGCCTGTGTGGATTTTAGAAATGAACAAATAAAGGATTTTTCATTTGAAACTCATTTTTCTCCTTTTTTGGCAGCTACAAAAACCAATGAAATAAAATAAAATTAAAAAGTAGTTTTGAATCTACCAACATTTTGTGAGCCACCTCAAAATATTTTTGTGGTTTTACAATTGATTTTTATGTTGGGCATTTTGGATTTTTCTTCATCACTCCCTCCTCCCCCTTTTATAAACACTATCAAGAGGTAAAATCCAGGTTTAAAGTCAAAATATAGAAAAGAAAAGCTTAAAAACACAATGACCAAAATTAAATCTTTCAACTCTTTGCAAAAGACAACTTCTCAACCAAAGCTATTTGCTGAAGATGGGTGAGTAAATAGTTTTTGGAAAAGACATCTTTTGGCAAAAAAAACACCAAAACATTTCTGCTCAGTTCTAATGGGAATATTGACACTCAGAGTTTCTGTTATGAATAGCCCTCTGTTTAGATGTTGAGACATCACATATAGCACCAAACTTGCAATTTTTCCATACTTGTCTCCACCTTTCAGACCTTCACCTATAAAGCAAATGTTAAAGATTTAGCACGTATTTATCATAAACAAAGAGGCTGATTCACCAACCCGTTACATCCAGTTCCACCACCATCTCATCATACCAGCTGTCAGAATCCAGGCTGCAGATGTATTCTGCTTTGTCAGAGGCCTGGACGTGCTTGAGCTTCAATGAGAGGTTCCCCTGAGTCATTCCAGTGAAGAACAGCTCCGTTCGATCCCGGTATTTCTCCCCTTCTGATTCTGCCTGGATTCCTCCATTGTAGGAGACTTCATGGACTAGTGCTGATGATCTTAACAGCTTCCACTGCACTTTGAAGCTTCCAGATAACGTAGTGACTGAGAGCTGGCATGGGAGGATGATGTCTGCTCCAATGACTCCAATAACAGGGTTGTTGGGAGGAAGGATTCTGTAGGGAGCTGTCAGGAGAGAGCAATACATGTGTTTCACGAGGCATACCTGCGCCGGTCGACAAAGGCTTCTTTGTCGATCGCGGTGCGTCTAGACTGCCCCGACCTGCCGACAAACAGCTGATCATCAGCTGGTCGTCAGAGCATGGCAGCCATTTTAATTTAAATGAAGCCGCGATTATTTAAATTGCGGCTTCATTTCCCTATGCCGGGTAGCCTAATCTACATGCCTCTGTTGTCAGAGGCATATAGCTTAGACATACCCTGAGAGGAGGACCCAGTGTGGGAGGGGTTTGGAGAATGACCCCACCCCAGGTTATTGATGGTTCTTGTCCATCAGGCTGGGCCGGAATCCTGACCCAGACTTTGTGACAGGATCAAAGGGTTCGCCGTGACAGTGAGGCTTGGCCTAGTCAACCCGCATGACAGGGGCAGCAGGGCCAAGGCTGAGTGAGCACTGCAGCAACCCCACAAGCCAGGCCACCCAGCCACTCACCTAGCTGCCTGCCCTCTTGTGAGGAAGGGGAGGCCGGGCCAGATGAGAGCTGCATTGTGATCCTTTGAACCAGGTCTCAGTGCCTCTTGTTTGGAGGCCCATCTTCACAATGGGCGGGACAAAACTCCCCTCCTATCCCGCCACTGCTGGCAGCTCTGGGAGGCATTTCTTCCAGTGACAGAGTCTTTTAAAAAGGAGGTGGAATCACCTACCAGATTTACAACCGGCCCTCAGAAGAAAGTGACACATTTACTTTTGTTTTGTGGCCTTGACCTATCAGTTCCATTCACATGGAGATTTGGCTCATTAAATGATTCCACTGCTTCAGTCCCTGGGATTCCCATCTCCCAAATAATTGGAGCTGGGTCTGGGATGGATTTGGCCCCTTGTTGTCTCCCATTGCCAGACTCTAGAAGATTTACGATTATCTTGCTGTAAAACCAGAAACTGTTTCACTGACCCGTCACCTCCAGTTCAATGTAGGCTTCTCCATGCCAGTCTGAGACATCAACCCGGCAAGTGTATTTCCCTTTGTCAGTCACCCGGATGTTCTTCAGCATCAGGGAGAGATTTCCTTTGCTCAGCTGAGAGGTGAAGAACTCTGTGCGGCCCTGGTACCCCTCGCCTTGCCTTTCTGTTTGGCTTCCTCCATTGTAGGAGATCACTTCTATGCTCTTGAAAGGTCTCACTCTGTGCGGCCCTGGTACCCCTCGCCCTGCCTTTCTCTTTGGCTTCCTCCATTATAGGAGCTCACTTCTATGCTCTTGAAAGGTCTTACAAGTGTCCACTGGACAGCAGGGCTGAGAGGGACCCTCAGAGATGACAGGGAGCAGGGTAGGATAGCGTCTTCTCCAGCGACTCCAATGACAGTGTTGTCAGGGGAATGGATTCTGAACTGGCCTGTATGGAGACAGATACATATTTCATGTGCTTTGCGTAGTTCCCTATGGAATGCAGATGTGGACTCTTATGGGGACCCTGTCCAAACCCAAATGGAGGCAGCTAGACATGTCAATTCACTCGTAAAGACAGTTCCAATCCATGACTTACAATCTTGGGATATGCTGGATCTCTCTTCAAAGCACACTAAATATTATAAAATGTATTCACCAGTGTCGGAGCCAGCAATGTGTCCCTTGTTTAATGGACTAAACAGTCAGATTATCTCTCTGCTCTGATTTATTTTAGCAATTTATGATTATTTAAAAGAAAACATTTGAATGAGCCACATATTTAAAGACAGAAATTATTTTTAATCTTCCATTATGTTTTTCCCATCAAAATCTAAAGAGACAAATACCTATCTATTTAAAATAAAATATTTGAATGAGCCACATATTTAAAGACAGATATTATTTTTAATCTTCCATTATGTTTTTCCCATCAAAATCTAAAGAGACAAATACCTATCTATTTAAAATAAAACATTTGAATGAGCCACATATTTAAAGACAGAAATTATTTTTAATCTTCCATTATGTTTTTCCCATCAAAATCTAAAGAGACAAATATCTATCTAGCTTCATATTACATGCCCTTCTATCAATCTACCTGTCTACCTCTGAACTTCTCTGTGCATCCCCCATTTACTTACACCTGCAAGTATATTGATGAATTTTGAAGGATAAATATTTGTGCTGAGAAGGCACAGTCACAGGGATTTGGATGCTATATCAAACAATGTGTCTTTTCTCTCTACTCTGTTGTTCTATCTATCTATCTATCTATCTATCTATCTATCTATCTATCTATCTATCTTTGTATTACATGCCCTTCTATAAATCTACCTGTCTACCTCTGAACTTTTCTCTATGCATCCCCCATTTACTTACACCTGCAAGTATATTGATGCATTTTGAAGGATAATAAATATTTGTGCTGAGAAGGCACAGAGTCACAGGGATTTGGATGCTATATGAAACAATGTGTCTTTTCTCTCTACTGTGTTGCACTTCCCTCCTTGCCTTAATCTTCTATTTCCTCAATCAGTCTATATAAATGCATATTGCATTTTCCCATCCACAGGTCTGGAATTGCTTTACAAAGGAGTTCAGTATCATTGTACCCATTTTGTAGATAGGCAAACTGAGGGCCCGTGAAGAAACAAATTCACCAATGGATGGGTGTCCATTGTAAAGCATACAGTCATAGGGTTTGAAGAGACCTCAGGAGATCATTGAGTCCAGCCCCCTGCCCAAAGCAGGATTAAATCCCTAGAGGTTTTTAAGCCCCGGCTTGACAAAGCCCTGGCTGGGATGATTTAGTTGGCATTGCTCCTGCTTTGGGTAGGGCGCTGGACTCAATGACCTCCGGAGGTCTCTTCCAGCCCTAGGATTCTATGATCCCAGTCAGGACTTTGTCAAGCCGGGACTTGGATGCAGATTCTACCACCTCCCTGGGGAACCCATTCCAGTGCTTCACCACCATCCTAGGGAAATAGTTTTTCCTAATATCCAACCTAGATCTCCCCCAGTGTAACTTGAGACCATTGCTCCTTGTTCTGCCATCCGTCACCACTGAGAACAGCCTCTCTCCATCCTTTCCGGGTAATATCAAATCCCTCCTCATTCTCTTCTTCTGCAGACTAAATAAGCCCCAAATCCCTCAGCCTCTGCTCACAGGTCATGTATTCCAGACCCCTCGTCCTTTTAAAGCACACAGAAGTAGAACTTCATTCTCTGGGACACTTTCCAGAACCCAGTCTGTTGACTCCACTCTGCTAATTGCTAGATAGGTAGATTCTTGGGAAAGTTTCAGCCTGTGTCGTACTTCGGGTCAGTGCATGTGACCACACTGGTCCCTTCTGACCTTGGAAGCTGAATAATATCTGTTTCACTATTTTGTGTTTGACTAGCTGCCACACCTTGGGATGGACAGGACAAAATCACACTCGTGGTAAATTCTCTGACCATAGGATTAGACTCTCATTTTCTGAAATGAAAACTCTTGCTCTTAACAATAAAACAAAAACATAGGCCTTTAGGATCTAAGGCCGGGCCACTTAGTCGGTCCTTCTTTGTAACCCAGACATAAATCAAGCCCAATACTATGTGCATATTTTTTTATAAAAACACTCAGTCCTGACATAAAAATCCACCACATCCTTTAGTTCCAGTGATTTGTCTCCCTCACAGACAGAGATTTGTGTCTTATTTCTAGTATGAATAGATGATCATAATGGTCATCCATTGGCTTCCAGCCAATGGATAATAATCTGCCTCTGAATACTAAAAAGCCTTTTCTTACCACAAATTTCCCTGGGTTACTCCTGGATAATGGCAAAATATCACCTTAACCTTATTTTGGTAAAATGAAATAGAGTGAGCTCCTGAAATCACTTATTTCATGATGTGTGTTCCAGATCTCAAATCCATCACTCTTGGTGCTAATGATTTTCTGTGCTCCTAAGCAACGATTAGATGAATTGCGTTTTACAATCCGTGTGGCATAGAATTCTCATTACCTGTTGCCAGATGGGCTATTTGTAGAAAGGTCAGAATCTGAATCGTTGTCCCCGATGGAAATAAAGGACCCATCACTGAGCAGGAGCTGGAGACATTTGGCTTTCAAATTACCAGCAGGACATCAAGGGTGCAACTTCCAGCGTCTGATGTTGTCCGCCTCCCCTGGTGAGCAAATGCAAACCATAAAGTGACAGCAGTGAGGGTAGGCAACAGGCCCACACTATAGCAAGGACACGAAGAGCAGGTTATAGAAAGAACCCAGTGAGTCTAAAGGCAGTTTTACCCTCCACTTCCACAGGAACAGGCCCATTCTCTTACCACACACATGGAGCAAACATATTCTTTACATGCCCTGTCAAATGTTCATTGATTTCTGTGGGAATTGCAGCAGGAACTTCAGTGTCTCCCAGAGGGGCGAGATAACCACAAGGCTATAGGGACAGTCTCTCCGGCTCAGTGAATATTTAACTGTTTCAACAAGAGAACCCAGCTCTAAAATGTGCAGTTGCCCACTGATGAAGGCAGTTTCTTGGCCTTCTCCACTCTCTTTGTGGGTTTTGTTGTTGTTGTTGGTTTTGAAAAGGGCTGCCGTCACTTACGGACACAGCACCAATTGAGAATTGACAGCCCAGCATCCTAAGCAGAGCTAGGAGCCTCCCCCTGCGCTGGAGTTAAGGTATCTACCTTTTGAGGAAGGGGCTTTGACCATCCCATTCTCTTCTGCGCTTCTTCCTGCTAGTGTAGCCCATACCCCACCCTGCTTTCTGTTTTTTTTGTAGATCCCCTTCCTAGGTGCCTCTCCCTCCCCCTGCATTGTATAGGGACCCTGGGCAGCTCACACAACACTGAAGATCCCACTGGGCAGCAGGACATCTAGCAGCTAGGTGCTGCAATTCTGAGCTTATATTTTATTTGTGGGTCTGGCCCTCGCTGCCTTTCAGGGCTGAGCAGATTCAGTTTACAGGGTTCTGAGCCAGGGTGCATAAGAATGAAAATGATTCTTCTCTGTGTTACTGCAGAACAAAATGGTTCCCTGTTCTGCTGGGAAACAACCTACTTAGTTTCTTGCCCCTAAATTTAAAATTATAGTAAATCAGATCAGTACCTACATTTATTGAACCAGTACCAATAACAAAGTTGGCCCAGCTTTGGTTCTATGTGGTAGCTCCCTAACTGTATAGAAAATAAATTGGCACCTAAAGTTTGTTGTTAAAAGGAAATAGCAATCGCAAACCCATATGCAAGAGAAACGAAATACAGCAATTAATTAAGTTGAACAAGTGTTAAAACCAGTTAGCATTTCATTTTCATCGCCTGTGACCCTGAGCCAGCGGGATTTAAACAGCCAGCAGGCTAAGTGACCCAAGATCAACCCTTGACAATATAGTACATAGGTACTGAATTGGTAAGCAGGGTCATTTCTTGTAAACAGTAATCATAGCTATGTAAATGGACTACGGTAATTCCTTTGAAATGCAAGCCTATATTGTCATAGAATGAGAAGTAAATACTAATTGTTTTTTTCAGTTCATGTCTGTAATATTTCATTTTTATATTCTATTGAATCAGAGATCAAAAAGGGAATATTAGCAAATTGGCAACATTTGGGTATAATAATATCATTGTTTTTATTATTTCTTGAAGTTTGTAATAAATTAATTGTGAATCTTTGAATGGTAAATTGCCTTACACCAATCAGTGCAACTAATGACCTGAGTATATGCAGGAAATTCGGACTATTGCTTCAAAAGCCACAATATGTGTTACCTATTTTTCTTCCAAAAGACACCTGCTGTGACCTGCTTACAAGAGGCTATCGTAACCTGCTAGAGAACTATTAAAGAACATGGGAACCTAGAATCATAGAATTATAGCTCTTTTTTATGTCTGTTCTGGTTAAGCTTCAGAGAAAGATTAAGACCCAAGTCTGAGGTGTTTAGATACTCTGCACTGTCCCTGCAAATTCTTATGGAAGAATTTGAACAAACTTTGTGTGTGGATGACCTATTCGCCTATAACCTACTAGCTGGACTTACCTGGCATTGCTTGGGAAAACGAAGGAACAACATTTAGAAAATGTAGGAAAGGAGGGGACCCTGAGCCAGGGACCCTCCAGATCCACAGACCATGGGGGCTGATGGCTCCTGGCCCACACCTGACCCTCTGAGAGCAGCAGGACCCTCCTCCCCCAGGACCAAGCAGCCAGCTTCCAGGAGAACAGTACACAGCTATGCGGCTAGTAGCAAGGGGACTTCTCTTTGCAAGGTTGGCTCAGGGATCCACCTGCCCTGCCTTGGCAAGCAAAAGCTCAGAGCTCACATCTAACCCCGAAGGTTGGAACGAGACACAGAAGCGCCCCACTCACAGTACGAACAGCAGCCGGCTGGCTTCACAGCAGTGTAATGCATCGAGGGTTTAACCTGGCCCCTCTGCCCTGTGCTGCAGCAGGCACATGGATTCCTTCTGCTCAGATAAGCCCAGCGAGCTGAGCAGAAAGGCTGGCTGGCTTTGGTTTTGGTTTCTGGAGTGGGGAGTGGCAGGTAGGGAGTGACCCCAGGCAGGAAGGGAGGTTAACGTGGGAGGGGCATCCCAGCTCGCGCCAGGGGCTGCAGGTGCCGTGGGAGGCAGAGCAGGGGCCCACGCCGTTGTGCG